TTTTAATATAGCCGGCCATCCTACATAGCCGCCAAGAGAAGGTCCCGTGGGCGGAATGGAACCTTCTCTCGGCGGCTATGTAGGATGGCCGGCTATATTAAAATAACGCGTTAAAAACTCTTTTCCACCGCCGCGGGGCCTGCACAGGAGTGTATTAGACCCCTTCGGAAGACCACACCTGACTTACATTTAACAGCTAGAAGCTCAAAAAAGTTATAATACGCTCAAATATGACATTGACCATGATGCGTCTTAGCTACTTGAGTACACTGCCACTTTGTGTTGTACTATCTTCCTCAATGTTTGAACAATAAAAAAATTGGCATCGACCAGTCAGCAAGATGGCATCGACCGTTTCAAATGGCAACGACTGTTTACGAGGCGAAAACGCGCGAAGCCTCTGGCGGAGGGACTGTTCTCTAGCTGGCCTTGACCCTGGTGCAATCTGTATGTCTTCCCCGCTGACAGGCTTAACATTCGGGAGAACCGCCTTAAACAGGGGCTGCGGTGTTTGGCTGGTACCTTAAATGACCCTGGCTAGTTCCAGACTTGCTTAGGGTCTGTATGCCTTTCTCTCTGTGAGATGTAGCTAGCTAGGTCTTGATTGAACGTTAGTCGCAGCCAGCCCACTTTGATCCATAGTCAAACGCGTCAATTGACCACCAAGCGTTGCCGGCCTTTCTGAATTTACTGTAAACCGTTACTCCAAAACTTACCGTTAAGTGTTGCCAGTACCCCCATGTAGACCCTCTTAACGGATACCTTTACTCCTGGCAAAAACACTCATAACCACAGTTTATGCAACAAGGTTCCCATTACATATCGCTCCCGCAGCTAAAAATGAGGCCACTGACCGCACTCTAGAGTTGTTTGTGGTGTCTGGAAGTCCGCTCATGTGAAGCATGCAGCTAAAGCTAAGGCTGCGGGACAAAGGACTACATTCTAGAAATGCTCACCTTTGTCAGAAAGACATTACCCGCGCCAAATTGCTACAGGAATTGCGTGTTGGGTTGTTGGGCTATTTTGGTACACGTCGGTCATGTAGCAGCCACAGGTGCCTAGCTGTCGCCGTTGGCATGGCAACGGTACGCGGGTTATCGTCAGCACATCATTTGCAGGAAAATGCGAGGGAAAATACTTATCCCCTAGCAGAGTATCCACTTGCCGGACAGTATCCATTTGCCACCTGTAATATAAAACAGAAAGCCTGATAAGAACACATGAAAGCACGCCAAAAATAAGCAGAAGTCTAAACCACTGCTTGGAGAGTAGAAGAATGCTCCGGCGTCACACTGTCGCCGATTTTCAGATCTTTCAGAGAATCCAGCGTGATTTCGCCTGAAAATTCGACCCTGGGCGGAACAAAAGTCGGCTGTGAACATTGGCTGATCCCTAAAGAAACCACGCAATGGATAAGAGAACATTATTTCGGCAGAAATGTCTTTTTCAGCTGTCAGTCTCGTAGCCTTGTCGAGTGAGCCATTTGCCTGCTGTGTTACACTTTGTTTTCATATGGATCGAAATAATGGGGCATTTCTCATCACAAGAGGGTGAGGAGGGGTCACTGGAAAAGTCAACAAGAGGGGCAAGAATGGAGGGGGGGGGGGTCTTCATCCTACTACGTTAAACTATGAAGCCTACTCAGTTCTAGGTAGTGGGGTAAATTTCCGTTTTTCCAGGAATTGTTATCTAGACCGATAAGACATGTGGGCGCTATTTTTCCCGGAATAACTAGATCTCCGGATTCCCTTTTTGCAGGAAATCATATCCTAAATTTCCGGATTTTTTTTCTGTCAGGAAAACGTTGTCTAGATCTCCCTGCCAAACTCTCGTTACTATAATGCTAGTACTGTAAGGTCTTCTTTATCTGTATTAAGCCTAAGATTACGTCTTATTTTGGAACGCCCTTTGCCATTTTCTTATTTGTTATTTATTGCATTCTTCTTTATCAGCGGTGAGGTTCAAATTACAGTGTGCTAGAGTTGCCCGCCACTGTGTATTGTATTCTGTATGTTGTTTACTAATTCAATACTAGTGAAAAAAGCTTAAGGAAAGCGTAAACGTATTTCCGTCTAGAAAATCTACGTCAAAAGTCACCACCATTGCTAGAAGGCTTGACAGCGAGTCACCACTACTAACAATTTTTCTCTCGCTCTCTTCCTCTTTATTTGTCTGTTTTCTCCAGACGACAATCGAGGCATGACGGACACCCGAGCCTTGTCTCTCGTCTCCGCGGTTTCAAGTGAGGATCAGCGGATATCCCGATCACCTGTCGCAGATAAGACAGCACCACTCTAGTGTCGGGCGGCGCCGTCACGGACGCCCCCCATTGGCCGGCGGCGTGTCCTCATTTGCATGGACTCGTCCAGGCCGTGTTTAAACAATCGATAAAGCGAGCTGATCGGTGCCAAACGTACTCAGTGTGTTTACCGTACGGGTAGTGTGTGAGAGACTTGGCCGGCCACTCTGCAAGCTTGTACGGCGGACTTGGAGTGTAGCGTGAAGCCGGCTGTTGGGCCGCGTGGGAGGACTTCGCGACAAGGAGAGACGTTTTAAAAGACGTCCCGTGCAGGTGTGTACCGGGACGTGTTGATATCTGAGCCCCCTCAGGTGTGGTGTGAGGCGCCGAGGCCGTGGTTTTCATTCACCGTGTCGCCCTGACCGGGAATTCCGCTGCAGTTTTAGAAACCACTCTAGATCTTAGCCCGGAGGGCACAACTGTTCTCTGGCTCTCAACCCGCTTAGTAGTTGTTCGGTGGACTGATCTCCGGGTGGAACTAACTACACCGCGTGTGTCACTCACCCTGTGTGTGTGTTTAACTGTTGCATCAGCAAATTGTGTCACTGCGGTCTGCTGTCCTTGATCTGAGACAGGATTCGGCTCAGATTCCCGCCTTTCTTACGTCTCTGTATCACCGAGAGGGAGAGAGGAAAGAAAGAAAGGACAGAGAGAGAGAGTGGGGGAGACGACATTTCTGTCTAGAACATCCTCGTAGGGACGACGCAAGGACCGTGAGCCGACCGCCGGGGTGCTGGCCTCACCTGGTCAGTTGGTTTGATCAGTGTGACCGAGATTACATACACCCAGCGTGGCCCTGTAAGGAGGCTAGCTCTGTGAGAAGCGTGGTCGGGTCTACATCGTGTGAGTATGTAGACTGCATACCCTCAGCTCATGCCGATGACTACAACGCTGTAATAATTGGAAGGCGTGAACTTCGAGCGACCTACCATGGCTGTACTCCGTGTGGCGATGTCGGCGTTGGTTGTAGGACTAGTCCTGGCCACTTTCGTACCGGTAAGTGACTTAGTCTTGCATAACGTCTTTCATATGTAGCCTACTCTGTAACACTACTGGTATGTTATATATCATAGTTTCCTTTCTAGTTGTTGCCTGAGAATTTATAGCAAGCTTGTGGTTTGGATATATAGGGTACTTTTGGGAAAGGTTCGTTGGTTGTAGGACTAGTCCTGGCCAGTCTAGTACCGGTAAGTCTTACATAACATATTTCATAGATATGTATATCACTCTGTAACACTGTGTTATATATTATATTTTCCTTTCTAGTTGTTGCCTGGGAATTTATAGCTAGTCGAAGGCTTGTGATACGGTAATTGGATATGGTACATTTGGTAATGGGTAAATAATTAGTCTTTTTGAGGTCAAAATTAGGGATGTGGCGCTAGGCTAAAAATAACCGGCAAACAGGGGATAAGCTGTGTTATCTCTGTTCCACCCCGCAAACACACAAACAACGACCCTTCATTCTCCGCCCTTTGGTCCAACACGTTTTCCTGCAGCCTTTATATAAAAAAGAACAATGAAACCGCGACACTGTACCAACATTTCCACCCTTTCAAGGAGAGCTACAGGTGTGGCGGATCGCACAGGTAGCGATGTTTCTCCCACCTGAAGTAGCGACCCTTTTCGTGGCGTCTCAATGGGCTCTGTTTGCTCTAACGTCCATTCCAGTCAACATCATTTGTCGAGGGGTTGAATGGCTTCCCATTCGGTAGATTTACTGAATACACCCACCTGAAAGGTGGGACACATGCTAGCTTCAGTACAGCCGAAGAAAATACATACATATTTCATGACCGCCTCTCTATTCATAGTCTCCAAATCGGCCTAAAAAGGGTATTAATTGGCCAGAGAAGGTAGCCGGCAAGAGAAGCTCCATTGCCCCGCTCTCCATTGCCGGCTACCTTCTCTGGCCAATTAATACCCTTTTTAGGCCGATTTCTACGATTTATTCACCCCGCAAAAGAAGTCTGGTGGAGACTACTCTCTTCAAGTGAACGACCTGTGATACTATTTGCTTTCCGTGTTTAAGCCCCGGTTGTACATACACACACTGTGAAAGCACGTCTGTACCCACACGTTAAACGGCCGGGGGCATGCCGACATCCACAATCAAAATCCAATCAGCGCGTACCAGGCATCGCTTGGAAGTCGTCGAAAGGTTGACCCGAAATAATGATATCTCTAGCCTCCGTAGAGGGCTTATAGAACTGGGGGTTTGGTGGTCTTCGGCTGTTTTCTGATTAGCCCAGTTCTAAAAAAACGGGGGTAATTCAACCTGGCCAGCTATGTTGTCTATATGCAATCAGAAAATAGCACATAAAAGCTCCCAAAGACCATGAAGACCCCCAAAACCCCAGTTTTTGGCATGCCATGGAGGCTAGATATCTCTACGTGATAGAATGCAGCCACCAAAACAAGGGATAGATCATGTATAACCAACACAAAGACATCTAAAGCCCTCGTACTATATTTCAATGGTCATTGAATATGGAAGATACAAATGCAAACATCGTACTTGACGAGGAATCATTCTTTGAAAACCTTTCCTTGAAATGTTTACCAAGGAACTTAAAAACTCATTCGGCTGTTATGTTGTGCGGACAATGAAACAAAGAAATCTCGATTAGCGTGTAACATCCACGCATGAAACCAACCTTGGACGGCTTATAAACATATTCCAATGTGAAACTGTGATATAGTGCTGAAAAGAATGGGCCTGAGAAAAAACCTGAGATGTCATTATCTAAGCGCTGGATCATCTTTTGTTTGGTTGAAGAATACGTTTCCGGAGGCATTGTCAGAAGGGTAAGATACGTTCGGCGTCTTCAATAGTTCAACAATCAGGGGACCCGAGAGTTTAAGTCCCAACTTCCCAATGTAACGTGTAGGGGACTGTTTCAAATGTTCTTGTTGTGTCCCAGAAATTTTACGAGCGCAATTTTTAGGCCTTCTTCTGTAGTTTTAGAGGCCTTTATAAAAGCCTGTAGAACTAGGCTACATAGAAACAACCGCTTCACTCCAAAGATACGAGGCTATGAATTAACAATCTCTTTACGTAAGATACTTGAGTTTTAAAGAGACATATAAAGCCTTAATAGAAGACTCAGCATATGTTTAGTGTCACTAATTTATTACCAAACGAAGCCATAACAACACATTTATCTGTAAGCCTGTCCGCTATAATGTATATATTTATATTAAATCAAGTTAAAACATATCCGCATCGCTCCGAGGTGCGAGACTATGAATAAACACGGTCCTTGGAGTACTCATGTATAAAGAGACGTATAAAACGTAAATAGAAGACTCAACATATGTTAAGTGTCCCTAATTTATTACCAAACGACGCCATAACAACACATTTATCTTTAATCACGCACGATGTAATGTATACATTTATATTAAATCACGTTAAAGAACAGGGGATATATCAACGATACAATTCCAAGTATTTGGACGTGATAATAAACATATAACAAGGGCAGGATCGTATTTTAGCTGCGAAGGAATTCCAAACTCATCAAAGTGTGTTTATACGGCTTAATGTATATTGTTTATAGAGTTACATGGAGAGTAATTGTCAGTAGGTGTTAGGCTGAGGTCACATTTTACTGTCGCTAGATTAGCAAAATTGCTTTAGTGGCCATGAAAGCCGCTATGGTCTGCCTACGGTTATATTGTACGGGAGTAAGGCATAGTTTAACTGTTGTAAGTTGTATAATACTTTGAAATAATGTTGCAGCGTTATTTATAAACGGTAGTTAGATGTTAGGTGTTAGGTTTAGGTTACATTTTACTGTCGCTAAATAAGCAAAATTGCTGTAGTGGCCATAAAAGCTTCCATGGTCGGTCTACTGCTATGCTATACAGGAGTAAGAAATTGTTTCAAGCATGTTAGTGATATAATACTTACAGAGAATGCTGCAGCGTTATTCATAAACGATTGTCGTAGCGCATTCCCTCTTCTACCCTTTTCTTTAATTGACCGCGTTTAAGTACACCTCGCTAAGTAGAAGGTCCGATAGTCCATGAATGTGTTTATGCATGGTTCACAGGCTATAATACTTAGATAGAATGTTAGGGCGTTATTTATCAACGATAGTCTAGTCGTGGGTCTTTCCCTCTTCTACCTTTTCCCTCTTTAATTGACCGCGTTTTAAGTACATTTCGCTAAGTACAAGGTCCGATAGTCCATGAATGCGCTTATGCACGGTTCACGGAGAGACCCCGAAGCTGGCACCGCAAATCCCTGAATCAATACTCGCGACGTGCGAATTGTTACGGTGCAATTTGTCAGCCGCAGTCCGGATATCAAACCCTATCAAAACCTCGTGAGGCTGTAGTTGCTCATTTGGGGCTATGCATCAAGTGGGGAGGCCGTCCCCCACTTGGGCCACACCGACTTAATTTTATGGCTGACATCCGCGCGCATTGATTTTCGCCTGTTCTTACAAAAAAAAGAAGAAAGACAAGATTACGTCCTCCGGGGCTCTGGCCTGGCTCTAGGCCTTGGTAGTCCAATGTAGTTAGCGACAATACGGAGCCGGTGGTAACTCTGGAGGATGGCACCCAGGCTACCGAAGCTCGACGACTCAAGAGCTCAATGTGCCGGCTTGTCATATACGTCGCTATGTACTGCCGCTATTTCACAATACCAGCTTTGTATTCCTGTGGTTTTGTAGCATTTTTATTTTTGGCCGGAATTTTTTTATTAGCCCGCGCGCACTAGTTTGGGGGTCTTCAGAGGATGTCATCCATAAAATTAAGTCAGTGCGGCCTTGCTCATTCGACTCTATACATCAAGTGCAGAGGCCGTCCCTCGTCGTTATGTGCGAATGTTTCAGTGCTTAATCTCCAAGCAGATCCCTCTCGGTGGCAAAAAGACAGTATCAAATTGGCCAGGCAGTATCCATTAGCCAGAGAAGGTCGCCAGCCACCGACGGGTGGGGGTACCGCCAAAAAAGGGGGCCATATATAAAAAGGTAACGATCACTCCCCCACAACCTCTGCTTGGAGAGTATCAGTCCTCATTTGCACCCGGAGAAAAGAGAGAGAGTAATCGACTCTGTGAACCACCCGGAACCTCCAGGGAGGCCGAACTAAGTTGAAGCTCTGTTTTAGTTTTTTTTTATTCAAAGCAACAATAATACAGAGGAAAGGACTAAGACAAAGTGGCGGCTTACTCAAGTTGTGCTCAACTTATATTCTAGCCGCCGCTTGTACATTGAAAATGAAATGTTTAGAAAGTCAATAAAAACAATAAACATAAATGCAATGGCTTTGATGAAGTGTGAGTCCGACCCCCACCCCTATGGAAGAAAGTATAAAGAAACAGACTATTTTAAAACTGTAGGTATATATCAAATGCAGAGGCCGTCCCTTGTCATTCTGCGTGAATGTTTTAGTCCTCATTTGCACCCGGGGAAAAGAGAGAGAGAGAGTAATCGACTCTGCGAACCAAATGGAACCTCGGGGGAGGCCGAACTAAGTTGAACCCCTGTTTTAGTTTTATTTCAACATTTCTTACAATACATGGCGGCGGCACACTCATGTTTTTCCACCTTATTTTTTATGCCGCCACCAACGCAGACAAACACACGGACAACAGACTATTTCACACAAAAAACAGAAAAAATCACCTGAACTTTTCACACCTGTTTACCTTATTTTTTATTCCAACATGTAATCACCAGACGTGGTGACGACACACTCAAGTTTCTTCGACTTATATTAATGCCGCCACCAACACAGGGGACAAATACATTGCAGGACAATACTCATTTACACCTGAGATAAGTGAGGAAAGACGTGTAAAGTGCCTTTCCCAAGGGCACAAGATCGGTGGCATGTCAGGACTCGAACCCGGGACTCTTAGTTCCGAGTCGCGCACTCTGCCGCTACGCCACACGACCCCACCTTATTCTGTTTACCTTATTCTTATCTATATCACGTGCGCGTACAAACAATCCCAAGGACTTTTCAACAACTAACTG